TCGGTAAACTGTAGAGCTGTTTATGCAGATTATGATGATGGACTCACTTTGCTATCTACTCATGTGATTTATATTGGGGGGCACATACATGAATATTAATGTTTAATTATGTTTTTTAGTTTCGCACAGTTGCCTAACATGTGTCACCTTTTTTCCAAGAAAATAAACAAAAGAATTCAAGAAAATGAGTTTCTTTTCACTTTAAATCAACCATGCTATTCAATGAATAAGCATTTAATTACTGTTGATACAACATTATCAACAGTTTTTGAGAATCATTCGATTTACTTTAAAAAGGTTTTGGCAAATATTGATCTTACTTTAACGTTTGTGGAGCAGATGGAAGACAATTACAGTCATAATCAGATGATTAATCAACGAAACTATATTTAATTCCCTACAATCAAATTACGTGACAAGATTACTATTTTTACGGAAATTATATCCTAACACTGGTAACAATCCTAACCGGGCGACTTGAGAATAAAATCAATGTGGGAAAACCCCACGTTTCGAAATTCCGTCTCCAGCCGATTGCCTAATTTTTTATATGAGAATTTATTACCCATTATATGTAGCGTTAGACATCTGGGGCCGTATTATCAAAACTTCGTAATTTTTGTACTTCCGACAAAAAAGTTACGTGTTACGTAAGTACACCCTAACTTTGGCATTATCAAAACATTCGTACGTAAGACTTAGCTAAAAGAGTACTATCCAAACCATCTGGCCAACTGACCAATCAGAGGCTTTGGATTTGTTTACATGCTGTGAACTTCGATGGCGGGAATCGGTGCCTTCGATGGTATCGACTATCGAATACTGTCTGTCGGTATTGAGTCGGTATTGCTCCTTTTTGGCCCAGAAAAAGCCGTTCTAAAATAGTTGTGAACTCTTTTTAATAAACAGCGTGAGTTGAAGAAGAAATCTGTGTACGGAGCTAAAAATTATGGTTGGCAGAAATATAAAGTACCGACTAGAAGGAATGAATGATGAGAGTTAGGCGCGAAAGCATTGCTTTTGCGCTTATAAAATATAACGTAATATGCATTCGCTTGTAAAATATAACGTAAAATGAAAACAAAATCAGTTTCTGGCATTAACTCAATTGAATTTTTTCCAATGGCACTGTTTAGCACGATCACATATTTTGATCGTGCAAATGTTGCACGATCAAGTAGTGGAGATATCACAAGTAGAGCCATCATTCTATGCATGTATAATCCGCGCTGTCGGCTTTTTGACAAAATTCTATCACAAGTCAAGGTGTTGCTACTTCCTAGTAAATCAATAGTTTCCTATCGCTTCAGCAGACACTCTAAACTTGTGGGGAACTTCACTTACGACATCTCCGAGCAGGCGTACAGTTACGTTACGTGTCTTCCCGCGCAAATGTTTTGACAATACCACCTCTAGAGTTACGTCATCAAGTCAGCACTTACGCCACTCGTTAGTCGATTTTGCGTACTTACGAAGTTTTGATAATACGGCCCCTGGTGTTATAATTTTTTTCAGTTCTGCTGCCTTTTCTCGAACGCATCTTATTAAGTGTACAGAAAATGAAGCCTACTAATAAAATTTAATAACACTCTACATAGAAAAATATATCGATAATTGAGAAAATTCATACCCCGTGCTGAAAGAATAATGTATGATATCCTGCTTTTATTTTGTATGACATGTAAATAAAGAGGAATATTCAAAAAATTAGAAAAATCATTTAATTTCCTTTCGTACTAAATTAATTTCTAAATGAGCTTGTCTTGAGGACATTTCAGCATAATTTATACCCAATACAGTGAAGCAACTGGTTCTCTACCTCCTTGTCAAAGAATTATACACTCGCTACAATTTCAATGTTATTTACAACTTTTCCATTTAAGGGGAGCGTTTCGCCTAAAAATTACTTATTTATGTACGGGCGGATCATTTGAAACTTGGTACTCATACGTAAAACAAAAATCAGAAACTTCTTTGCTTGTGTACATTTTTTGAAGAAAAAATCAAAGAAAACGAGAAATTCATAGAGCATGTCAAAAAAACGGGATATTTTTTGGGGTACTGTAAATATCTCCTCATTCAATTAAGGTGCTACAACATCGCGAGACGTATCATTCGACTCGCAAAGGCCAAATCTAGCGATTCCCCGACCACTTTTTCCAAATTCGAGTATTTGAGGGGTGGGGGAATTGAATTTTTTTTAATTTTTTCCAATTTTCGCCCTCCCCTAATTGTTTTTTTCAATATATAATCCGAACTAAAATTAAATAAAAAAAATATAACTCAGTACCCACTGCAGTGGGTGACAGAGAGCGCATTTTCTCGTCGACGAAAACTTGAGGTCACGGACGGACGGACAGACAGACAGACGGACATGGCGAGCACAATAGTGCATTTTTTTCATAAATGAGAAAATGCGCTAAAAAGGACCGGGTAATCGACAGATATTATTTTCACAAATCGATAGGTGGATCTCTCAGTGCTGTAGCTTGAAAATCATAGGAGGAGATTTTTAAGATGAAAATGTAAACTTTTCAGGATAGCCAAACAACTAAAATTTTTAGTCATTTAAGGTATAGGTTTTACTTGCGCTTTGACGACTGTCGCGAACGAACAGAAGAACGTACATGCATTCCTTTGAGCTCTTTCAATGCGCAGTTTTTAGACCTTTAAACTGAGCCTATAGACCGGAGAAGCAAAAAATGTTCGACTTCTACCGAAATTCAATAGCATAGCAATAATCATCGGAACTTCGATTCCAATCAACGGAACAAATACCTTCTTTTTGAAAATTTTTCAACATTATTCGTGAGTGATTGCTCTAAAGTATCGAAATGTATACTAATGACTTCCTTTGAACACAGTATCGAGAAAGATAAATTTATTTTTATCTTATTTACATATTTACCCACTTTACATTATGCTTTCACCCATGTTTTTCATATGAAAGTTTTGGTCATTGTACGATCTGGTTTAGCAAAGATGCAACCTACTAATAACTTTTGTCCACTTCATTCGTATTTTTAAAGTTGTGTTGACGGATGAGTAATCGTTTTTTATAATAAAATTTTTTTATGTAGCCCAATTGAACAATCTCCAACTACATATATAGAAAATTTTCATCACCGCTCTGCGTTGATACAAGCGCCATCGGCATTGCTCATTACTGCTTGTAGTGTCGTGTCGTGTCGTCCTCGGAGCCTCTATGAGGCCATCAAGCCATCACTTAACCGAGCTCAAACTCCAAGTCCACTTTGCGAACGACAAAAGTTCATGGAAGTTTTCCATTCTAAATCATGTGTTCAGTGCAATAAAGGCCTTGCGACAGGCTTGCTTTTGTTCAGTAGATCACTGGATACTCATCTATGCTCATTCAATATTTTATATATATTTAATATAATATATGTCGTTAAATAGAAGATTAGAATAGAATTGTCGGCACAGAAGAAATAGGACCATGGCCTGTTGCCGATTCGTGTACTTTTTGTGACTTGATTCCATAAGGGATCCGGCCTTCTGAACCCGATCTTTCCATATCTGACGATTGTTTGAGATAGCTGCTGGTGCTGGACTCATTGCCTGGTCCGTAAGGTGCTAGGCATTCCAAGGCTGAACATATGCTCCTGCATAGCTTCGTCTAGTGCGTTCTTGAAGGCGTTTATTCTAGGAGCACCAACGTTGCTATCAGGGAGGCTGTTCCACATGCCGGTGACTCGAAGCGAGAAGAAATGTTGTCGCATGGATGTGTTGCAACGCAATTTTTTAGTATATAGCCGTGGCCCCAGGTGTTGGTTCCTGTTTCAAATTCTAGGACTTCTTCTTGGATCTTGCATAAACCGTGGTTATAACTGTATACTTTAATGAGGTCACCACGCAGACGTCGTCGATAACAGAGGCTTGGAAGCTTCATTATCTTTCTTCAGAAGGTTTGTTTTTTAATACCGGAATTATCCTTGTTGCACGTCTTTGAACACTCTTTACTAAATTTTTATCCTTTTCTAGTTTTGGTGACCACACGGCATTGCCAAGCTCTAGGTTCGGACGCACGACAGCGATAAACAGCATCTTCATCGCATCTGCATCTAGGTGCTCGTAAGAGCGTCTGATCAGTCCAAGTAGTTCATTGACTTTTAAACTTGAGCTTCAATATGCTAGAAAATTTCAACTCATTGTTGACATTTAACTCCTAAGTCTTTTTTCCATTGTCGACTTCGACATCATCACTCTCTCGTTGCTACCATGTCTTCTCATACTGTAATCTTGCTGTTCATTGTTCTTGCCGAGGTGGATTACTTAACATTTGTCAGCATTAAAACGCAGCTGCCACTTATCAGTCTAGTCCACTAACCTGTCAAAATCACCTTGTACCTGTAATTTTTGGGACGTATTCTTTCCTGTATAATAAACTCAGCGTACATCGAGCACACGCTAGACACAGCTTCTGGCAGATCGTTTATAAACGCAACGGATAAAACAGGCCCGAGAACGCTTCCTTGTGGCACGCCGCTGAGCACTGAAGCCCAGTCTGACACGGGCCCATTAATACTGACAAGTTGTAGTCTTCCTACTAGAAAATCTCTTATCTATTTGAGTACATTACTCTCAATTCCCCAAGACTTCAATTTACGCAACAGCCGCTCATGTGGGACACTGTCAAATACCTTGGTAAAATCGAGGTACACTGCATCTACTAGCTCCCTTTCATCCAGCAGGTGGGTCCATTCATTCAGAATAGTCAAGATGTTAATGATGCAGATCTACCGGCAATAAAGTCCTGTTGACAGTCTGATAGCAAATTATTAACAGTCAAATGAGCGATATTCTCATCGATCATCATCAATCCTCGATATAAGAAGACAATCGAATTCGATTGTAAAAACGTGCATCTAAATTCTTAGAAGTAAGTTGTCATTAATATGTGGATATTCTATTTTTCTCAGGGATAAAAGTAAATTCAAACTTTATTCTTCATTGGTTTATTACCGTATTTGCCAATAATGACGATCCAGGAAGTTTATTACACTGACAATGAAACGAAATTACCTTATACATGAGAACACATTTCGACTGTCACAAGATCCGAACGTTTCCTCGTTGCGTTCATTGCATATATATTCCAGCATTAAATTTCTAAAATACCTTACGTATATGTACGCAGACGACGACGAGTAACATCGGTTAACAAATTGTATTTAACCATGGATTCAGTTACAATGCCGACACATATATGCTGCGAATTGTGCATTATAATGTATGAGTTTTAGCCACCACAGAAAGACTCATATATTTCCGTCTCGCGCTGGGTATAAATAATAATAATAATAATGTGCTACTTTATTTTCTTCTTCTTCATTTCATCTATTTCGGAGGATTTATCCATGACATGCATAATTTACAATCAATCAAATTTAACTTAGGATTTAAACACCAGTATTACAAACTTTCAGGTCTATAGGTAGAACTAGAGGCGCCACTAATTTGTCAAGCAGCAAAAAATATTACCTAACTGATTCAGGACGTGCTAACGGTGACGAAAAAACCAAACCGTATCAGCCCGGCTAAACATGACACACAAACGAGTACAACGACTCGCATCCAGTGTCTCCGAGTCGGTAGACGTGAAGGCTCATCATCCGTGCGCACTGTTGATTGAACTGGGCGCCGTTGGGGTCCGTTGATGCCCAGTCTCCTGTGTAGTCTGGGCCAGGACTGCGACCGCTGGGGGACCACATCCAAGTGTTGCCCACCTTCTTGATTGCAACCCAGAGACCCGCAAGGGCTTGAAGATGGATTTGAAAATTAAAAATGTTATTTAGCTTTTTAGCTTTAGCAAATAAATGTTCAGTTTTCAAGTATTTTAACAATAATAATATTGCTTCAAGAATCACGTTATAAATCATCATCTCATGTATGTCAGGCGCAATGGATAATGTGGCCTTTCAACTTTGATGAAACAAAGACTTCATTCAGGTCATTTGAAATAGAATTAAATCGTTTCCTAGGAAACGAAAATAATCAACTCGTCAATGTAATGAAGATAGATGATTACTTGTACTCGAATTTGTACTCAAGATGTACATCCTCATAGCCTCGAACTGTTCGTGAGTGTCGGCAGTGTACAGGTCAGATCCAAGCGCCGTGCACTGCTGCCGCGCCGTGGTCCAGTCAACAGTAGCGGTGTTCACGTATATGCAGCCTACCGCGGTCTCCACGAACGGTGTGCTGCAGCTGGTGCGTTTGCCTGTGGAATCATAAAAGTTCAATGATACAAGCTCCTACTAGAAACCTTGTATTGTTTTATCTCAATTTCGGTGGTATGACTGCGATTGTGCCGATAAGCCACTAATTCCAAGACTCGTTTTTTAGTAAAAGGTACTTATATATAGTTGCTTAATTCTAGAGGCTCTCAGTTTTCCAATTGTCAATGGAAGATTTCGCAAGGAAACTTGCACCAACAAACCCATAACAACAAGAGAACATTTTTCTTAAGAGCTTTTTGTTATATAGCTAAAATAATTTGTTTCGTGCTGTGTAAAATAGAGCCAAGAATATTGAGTCTCTGATGATATAATAGTTATAAATACTCACACAATATTAAAAAGTTCCCATGTACATTTCATATCGGTATATTTCCCATGATTCCAAAGAGGTCTAGATGTGCGGGAATGAATCTTCATGAAATTTTTTTCAAGGAATTTTGTGCACCCTGAGACTCCGAAAAATATATGATCGGAAAACAATGCACTCATCAAGTGAGATACTCTGAAGAATAGATAATCGCAATAGGCGAAAAACGCGGTTGCATCCAAAATTTTGGTGTTTTCTTGTTCACCATAATTATGTTCGTTCAATATTAATTGAGATTAATGGTTCATAAAATTTCGTTAAGATTAAATGTCTCAGTTGTCAGTTGTTTGTTATCTTTTAAGCTAAACTGAAAGTGTGTGATAGAAATAAAGTTTCCAATTGAAAGTAGAGAAACCTAAAAGAAAAATTACTTGTCTTACCGATCATTTCTGGTCCGTCGTCCGTGCAGAGGTAACTTGGTCCACTATCCGTGTTGAAGGCTTGTCCGACTTGCACGATCTCGCCACTGGGTCCAGTACAGGTAGCTGATGCAAATAAAAGATCATTGTCTAATTATTAAGAAAAGTGACCCAAATTTGTATTTCATGTCGATATTACTGATAATCATTGCATTCTGCAATGACTTATAAACAAATTATTTGGATTTATTTGATCACAGCCAGGCCTTGTGGACTCAGGCGTCGAGGACGATTTGCCTACCGGGGTCGAGGACGGCAGAATACAGAGACGTCGCTCCAGCGTGGCCTGAAACTGCTACGTCTAAAACACATACTAAGTATACTAAGGATCCTTACCTGTGTAGGATTTCCTGATTTTACAAGGAGTAGCGCCGACGGTGCCATTCTTCCTGCCAGCCACAGCTTTGACCGCCTCTGCGCTCCAGATTTGACACTGTGAAGTACATCCTCATAGCCTCGAACTGTTCGTGAGTGTCGGCAGTGTACAGGTCAGATCCAAGCGCCGTGCACTGCTGCCGCGCCGTGGTCCAGTCAACAGTAGCGGTGTTCACGTATATGCAGCCTACCGCGGTCTCCACGAACGGTGTGCTGCAGCTGGTGCGTTTGCCTGTGGAATCGATGAAAGTTCAATGATCCACGTTTCAATACTAAAACAACCTTGTATTTATTTATCTGTTAAAAAACATTGAACTATTTTATCTTAATTTCAATGGTATGATTTTGATTGTGCATGCTGTTAATCCATTATTTCAAAGACTCCTTTTTTAGTAAATGGTTACTTGATTTCTTGATATTAAACATTCTAAATTTTTTATTTGCCAATAAACGATTTCGCAAGCAAACTTGAACCAATTTACCCATAACAACATAGAACAATTTTCTTTGCAGTTGTTTGTTGTATAGCTAAAAATAATTTGTTTCCTGCTGCGTAAAATAGAGCAAAGAATATTATTTCATATAATATGTTAGTACGTCACACTCCTGGTATCTGTTGATATAATCGTTCTAAATACTTGCACAATATTAAAAAGTTCTTAATTTCATTTCATATCAGTATATTTCCCAAAATTTCAAATGGGTTTTAGATGTGCGGATATAAATTTTTCTGCGACTTTTTTGTTGGTAGAAAGTGCACCCTGAGACTCTGAAAAAATAAGTGATCGGGAAAAATGCACTCACCAAGTAAGATATTCCAAAGAATAGATCATTGCAATAGGCGAACAACGTGGTCGCGTCCAAAATTGTAATGTTTTATTTTTCACGAAAATTATTTCTTACGGAAGCATTATATTAAATTGAGATAAATGGGTCAGACAATTTTGTTGAAATTAAATGCCTTTTTTGTTGTCTTTTTCGCTCAGCTGAATGTGTGATAGAATTAAAGTGACCCAATAAAATTGTAAAAAATTAACGAAAAATTGCTTGTCCTCCCGATCATTTGTGGTCCGTCGTCCGTGCAGAGGTAACTTGGTCCACTATCCGTGTTGAAGGTTCGACCGACTTGCACGATCTCGCCACTGGGTCCAGTACAGGTAGCTGAAGCAAATAAAATATTATTGTTTAATTATTAAGAAACCTGACCCAAAAATGTATTTCATTTCGATAATACTGATAATCATAGCATTCTACAATGACTTCTTTAAAGATTCATTGGATTTATTTCATTACAGACAGGCCTTTGCGACCTAGGCGTCGAAGACGATTTGCCTACCGGGGTCGAGGACGGCAGAATACAGAGACGTCGCTCCAGCGTGGCCTGGAATTGCTACGTCTAAAACACATACTAAGGATACTAAGGATCCTTACTTGTGTAGGATTTCCTGATTTTACAAGGAGTAGCGCCAACGGTGCCATTCTTCCTGCCAGCCACAGCTTTGACCGCCTCTGCGCTCCAGATTTGACACTGTGAGCCCTCGCGCGCTGCAGAAAAACACGACGCCACGGACCAGTTGAGGCTCTGAGCGATGCCCAAGCAATGCATCGCTGAATCACACGAGTGGGCAACCATTTGACCGGCAGCGCTTGCTTCCATTTGCATTTCATTGAGCGTTGAAGATATCCATAGTTCCGACATAATTTCCGCGGATGAGAAACTCGGGGCAGATATTAGCGAAAATATCATACAAACATTCCGTATTTTTAAATGAATTCGGTCGCTCATTGTTCCGCTCATCAGGTAAATTCAGCTGACAAAAAGACCTTATTTTGAGATACTTGATTTTCAATTGATAATTGTTGAATTCATTTTATGTCATGGATTATCTTTTGAAATTTTTAGTACATTACTGGTCTTTCTTTAATGTTGGTGACGCAGAAGAACGACAATCACAGCGCTAATCGGGTAATTCTAGCAACAAAGAAATAACATTAATCTTTCTACAATGAAAAGTAATGATCTAAAATATAAAGATTGTCAACAAAATGGCAACTGGTAACAATCCTAGCTGAACAATTTAATAATTCAATTAAAACTGCTAAAATCCCAAAGAAAAAATCTGATATGATCGTTGGATCCGATTTGTTAACTTTTTGCCGATTGCGTACTTTTTTATGCGAAAGGATCGTTAATTATTTTTCCGATGCAATACATCCATCACGCGATAGAAAATTGTGATGCGTCTTTTTCATGCTCAGATACAATCAACTGCACATTAAATAAACGCTACTAATGATGTTTACTGTAACTAAAAAATAAGGAAAAAATTCTGCAATATAAAATAATCAAACCTATAATAATCATACAGAGCGTTGAAGGAATAATTGACACAGGTTTTAATTTTTTAGCATTGGTCGATATAAGAAAAGTTTATGAAATTTTTCGAATTTCCTCTCTTCAGGTTAAAATGAAGTCATCTCTATATGAGTGAACTTTGAAGGTAGTTCAACATTTTTTTATTCGGTCCAACAAAGGGAAAAGCTTCCAAACTTTTCGTCAAACTAGAACGATGTGATTTACATAGTGATTTGTTTAAACGACACAATTAAATAATGCTCATCGACGCATGAATAATTAGTGAAATGGATGCATTGCTGATACTCTGATTTTCTTAAACAATAATCGTCGTTTCTTTGATAGTAATTATCGATACTTATATTTCCTTTTCAAAAATTTGATGCATTATTTTTGTACGATACTTGGGAAGTACCAAAATCTCTCTTTATGTCCTCAGTTAAACACAATAAGGAAATGAACGTTAACTATCCATACCAATTTTATGAGCATTTATATTTTTGGACGCTTACATTTTTCGAAATAATTAAAAATTTAGAACAAATTACTTCAAATTTATTTACATTATAGAATATTGATACAATTGAATCACATTATATGATATCGAAGAATTGAATAAAATTTCTTCATGCAATTAATTTAAGCTCGAGCAAGGAAGTAGACATGAATATATTAATATCAATTAAATTGTATAATTAATACGACAATGGATCACATAACAATATTATACTGAGAAATAACACCAAAAAACAGCCAATTGATCTGCAGTGTTCCAACACACTTGTTCTGATCAAAGCTCACACTTGAGTGGCGCGTCGTTTTGTGATGACTTAAAGGTTTTCCAGAGAGCAATAAACCTGTCATTTAACCAACCCTGAACTCAAAGTGCACTTAGTGAATGTAAGAGATTATACCAGGTTACTTCTTTTACCGTAAGATAAGTGCTGATAATGCCTTCCGTCAGCAATAGACACGTTCCGTGCAACATTAGCTATGCACTGAATTTACTTCGAATTAATCCCAGATTTTTTAGATAATGACAAGAATGAGGTTCTTATTATTTCAAATAGGAAGATATACATTAAAAGAGTAACGTCACTTATACGTTACTTTTTTAACAAATTAATCCCATTTTGTGTTGATATTTTATATATCTTTAATTAGATACCGTATGCAACGCCTGCTGCAACGTACCGTATGCTGTTGTTAAATCTCAGCATTGCGTGCTTTGTCGTTTTGAGTCGACCTCGGAGCTTACAGCAGGGCAATCAAACAGTCATTTAATCCAACATGAACTCTAGGCGCACTTAACGAATGAAAAGAGATGATAATGGGTTGGTGCTCCAAAGCATGTGCTCATTGCAACAAATGTCTTGGGACAGCCCTGCCTATGTTAGACTTAACACTGATATGCATCTAAGCTCATTTCAAAATTCTCTTACTACTTTTAATACAATATCAAGATCCAATTCAATTGTGAAAACTTAAAGCTGAATTCTAAGAAGAAAGTTGTCGCATAATTTGTACTTTTTCACAGTGAAACCATCAATCGGCAATACTTTGAATTATATCGGTGCCTAAATTGCTTGCAAACCACGCAGGTGCATCTCAATAGACTTTAGACTTTCAGTGCTCTAGACTCAATCTTATCGTATTTTCAGTATAACGATTTAAGACCTTTAATTTGCACACGATGTCACACAATACATCTTAACGTATATTTATACTCGCATAGGAAGCTAATATTTTTCCATTGCGTTCATTAAGTTTTAATTAGAGCTTTTAATGTCTAAATCTCTTGACATAACACACACAATATCTGAACAAACTTGACCAACATCGGTGAACAAACCATTACAATTAAATGAATATCGTTTCCTTGCCGTAACTCATCCACTAAGAATTATGAATAATAATAGCAGAGTTTCAACACGTGCAAGATGAATTCACGTATTTCCGTCTAGCCCTGAACATGAATAATCTGATGAATGAGTCAATCAATGATTTTATGACATCTATTATATATGGGCGGAGTCATTTTCTGTTAGTTCATTTTTATCTTTTACTTGTTTTACACTGTAAAGTGTCTTTTTATCGATGAAATTCTAGGTTTTGTGCTGAACTAGGCTTGTCATTCTATGCATATTTGAACATATTTTAATATCACCTAAGCTTGGCAAGCAAAATAAATCTATGGAAACCTAAAACGCCGAACCATTTGCTAGAATTAAACCTGCCCTTAATTTGTTGAAAGACATGTTCCTAACTCAACTATCGTGACGCACTAACGGCGACGAAAAAATCAAGCCGTATCAGACCGGCTAAACTTGACACACATACGATTACAACGACTCTCATGCATCGTCTGCAAGAAAGTTGTAGAGATATTTCGCCATCCGTGCGCACTGTTGCTTGAACTGCGCGCCGTTGGGGTCCGTATATGCCCAGTCTCCTGTGTAGTCTGGGCCAGGACTGCGACCGCTGGGGGACCACATCCAAGTGCCGCCCACCTTCTTGTTTGCAACTCAGGGCCTATACTTTCAAAAAAAAAGTTAAGAGATCGTAAGTTTATCCGCCAATCATTGACGGCCTTTCAAGCAAAATCCACTAATCATAGACAAGAAAATAGAGCGTAAGTACTTACGTTCACTTAGCGATTTTTGAAAGTATTTCCAAAGGGGCTTGGTAATTAGATTTCAAAATTAGAAATGTTATTTAGCTTTCTATGTTCAGCATAAAAATATTCAGTTTCCGTTTTTGTTCAACATTAATAATATTGATGCAAGAATCAAGTTATCAATCATCATCTCAAGCATGTCAGGCAAAGGGAATTATGTGGCCATGCAACATTGATGATACAAATACTTCATTCAGGTAATTTGTAATAGAATTGAATCGTTTACTAGAAACAGAAAAAAGCAACTGGTCAATATAATGAAGATGAAAGATTACTTGTACTCGAATTTGTACTCAAGAAGTACATCCTCATAGCCTCGAACTGTTCGTGAGTGTCGGCAGTGTACAGGTCAGATCCAAGCGCCGTGCACTGCTGCCGCGCCGTGGTCCAGTCAAACTGCAGAAAAACACGACGCCACGGACCAGTTGAGGCTCTGAGCGATGCCCAAGCAATGCATTGCTGAATCACACGAGTGGGCAACCATTTGACCGGCGGCGCTTGCTTCCATTTGCGTTTCATTGAGCGTTGATGACATCCATAGTTCCGACATACTTTCCGCGGATGAGAAACTCGAAGCAGATATTTTCGAAAATATCACACAAATAATCCTTATTTTTACGTGAATTCGGTCGCTCATTGTTTCTCTCACCAGGTGAATTCAGCAGACAAAAATACCTTATTTCGAGCGGGTTGTTAAATACAGCGGCTTTGCTATCAGTTGCTAATTACTAATTGACTTGATCGATGAATTTAAATTGGAAGCGCCGGTATTTTGCAACCTTAATATTTTGAAATATTTTTAAATGATCATGTCTTGCGACCTTTCTATACTAACTTTACAAGTAATCTGAAAGAATATGTACTCCTTTCATGTAATTTATAGGCTTGGACCCAAATCATAGACGAAAATTCCTGAAGAAATTGCAGCTACGCTTTAGGAAAATAATTATCGTTGTACGATTTGCATGTTTAATTAACTTCAGTACAGACAAATTTCGTGTGTAGCATGAAGAGCAATTTGTACAATTTTCCACTTCTAGTTATGAACAAATCAGTGTTCTTAAAGAAGCATGAAAAAAAACATTTCCACTCCTTACACAGAAGAGAAGAATATCCTACGTTGTGATTAAATAATTATAAATTAATCAGTGTCTTTTTCCACTTAAGGCTCAACTGTTGAGCGCACGCTTAGTGAGAGGCACAAAGAAGTATGAATTACCATTATGAAATTAACTATTATAATGCCTCTTGCCAAGTCATGCGTGACAAAGCTGGTGCCTGAATTATCTTGAGTGTATTCGATGCGATGCTTTTACTGAGCTACGATTTTACAGCATGTCAAACGATGCATGAAGAATGAGAGTTGTGAAATAGGCGGCCAATGGAAAGAGCTTTGTTCTCAGGTATTTCAGCGTACAATCTCATTCGTGCATGACTGCAATATACGAGATATGGATAGATAGAGATAATTTGATAATCATCGTAGATAATAAGGTATATTAAAAAGATTAGATAGCCACCTAATTTTACATAGTATTTTAACAAAAAATGCAAAAGGGATTAGTGAAATCACACTGTTTACTGA